AGCTATTTTATTTTTTAAATGTTGTGCTTTTTTTTTTAATAATAAAAGATGTTGTGGCATTAATTGTAACATTAATTATTTCTCAAACCATATAGCTTTATTGTATAAAGGATTATTATTATTATTATTATTATTATTATTATTATTATTATTATTATTATTATTATTATTATTATTATTATTATTATTATTGTAATAAATGTTTGTATATCGTTTTGTTTGGATATATATTCATAATTTTTGAATTTCATATTCACAATTATTGAATCTCTATATTCATAATTACATAACTATATGTTTATAATTATGTTCACAACACTATGTTTATAATTATAGAACTATATATTCATAATTATGAACAATTTTTGAACTGTGTCTACTTTGTAAGGTGGACACGGTGCCACAGCATAATTTGTCGGGTTAATAGTACTAAAAAAAAAAAAAAAGTCTTTGGACTTCTCAATACTTGCCCACATTGATGGGCAAACAATTATATGTTTCTAAGAGGAGCAATGATCCTCTTATATAGAGGAGCTCAAGAGCTCCTCTTTCCAAACATTTTCAATGTGGGATCAAAATGATCTCACATCATTTACAAAGGAGAGCCACCTTTATCTTATTCTTATTTTTTTTTTAATTTTAATTTTAATTTGTATATAGTTTTGTTTGAATAATAATAATAATAATAATAATAATAATAATAATAATAATAATAATAATAATAATAATTATTATTATTATTATTATTATTATTATTATTATTATTATTATTATTATTATTATTATTATTATTATTATTATTATTTACAAATTAATAGATTTTATTTAATTTTCATTTGAGATTTACTTACCAAATAAGCTTTACCACAAAAGTTTGAGCGGGAAAATGAATTAGGATGATTTTGTTTTTAATCACGCGCACACACACACACACACACACACACACACACACACACACACACACACACACACACACACACACACACACACATATATATATATATATATATATATATATATATATATATATATATATATATATATATTGGTTCTACTTCATTTTTTAAGCAAAATCTTCCTTAAAGATTAATAGTAAAATAAAGCTAACTTATTAATAACCGATTCTATTACATTTTTTTACGCAGAATTTTTCTTAAAGATTAATCGTAAAATAATGTTAAATTATTAATAACCAATTCTATTCTATTAATAGTAAATATCTTAGTGATTCTTTTTCTTATACTGCTTATTGATTCTTTTCCATTTTTCAGAGTGTAGAAAAAATTCCCATGGCTAACATTTTCTTCCATTCATTTCCATTTTTCCATATTATTATTAATTTCCTTCCCAATATTATTCTATATTGATTTGGGGTACGGCTTCCTTCCATTCATTTTCATTTTTTCATATTATTATTAATTGTTTAGGCGGGAACTTGTAAAGGAGGATATTGTTTTCATTAATTAATATAGAATGTAGATTACCAATTAAAATTAAAGTTTTTATTATAATTGAATAATAATAGTATCAATTATTATTTGAAGATTTTGTAAAATAATAAGTAAAATTGTATTACGGATAGGAAAATATATGTACTTTAATTTTAATTTAAATTATTAATAATTAATTCTATTTTATTTTTTAACAAAATCTTACTTAAATATTAATAGTAAAATAAAGCTAAATTATTAATAACCGATTCTATTACATTTTTTTTACGCAAAATTTTTCTTAAAGATTTATATAGTAAAATGAAGCTAAATTATTAATAACCGATTCTATTACATTTTTTTACGCAGAATTTTTCTTAAAGATTAATAGTAAAATAAGGCTAAATTATTAATAATCAATTCTATTATATTTTTAAGCAAAATCTTCCATAAAAGATTAATAGTAAAATATCTTAGTGATTATTTTCCTTATACTGCTTATTGATTCTTTTCCATTTTTTAGAGTGTAGAAAAATTCACATGACTAATATTTCCGTCCATTATTTTTCATATTTCCATATTATTATTAATTTTCTTCCCAATATTATTATTAATTGTTTGGGCGTACGGCTTCCTTCCATTCTTTTTCATTTTTTCATATTATTATTAATTGTTTAGGCGGGGACTTGTAAAGGAGGATTTGTTTTTATTAATTAATATAGAATATAAATATAGATTAATATAGAATATAGATTACCAATTAAAATTAGATTTTTTTTAATATTATATTTGAACAATAATATTACCAATTATTATTATTATTATTATTATTATTATTATTATTATTATTATTATTGAGTAATTATGGCGATCCCATAATTATGCCAAAAAGTAAATACACTTTTGACCTATACAATGAGGAATTGAGCATGGACTTCATAACTGTCAAAATCGGCACCATGAGAATAAAACAACTTAACAAATCAGAACTTCAGAAGTTCGATTACTTCAATAATCAACACAAAGAACTAAGAAGAATATAATAATAGTCAATTGATGTATTAAAGGCGATTCCTGGTATATATTGTCATGTATATTACATTATTACAACAGAAGCACTTAACCACTCCCCATTCTCCAATCACTCATGAGTCACACATTTTTTTGTGTGGCACTTTAAATTCTTGACCAATGACAGTATAGAAAAAAAATGAAGAGAGAGATTAGAGGAGTCAGCACTCAGCATCCCTTTAAACAGGCAGGAGTACTGGAGTAGGCACCACTCAAAGCGAGATTCACATGAGACTGTCTTTCATCAATGATAATGAAACTTCAATGGAAGCAAAAAATCAATATATGAAATGGACTTGGAGTAACCGAAGAAATATTCAGAATAAATCCTAATCTAGGCATATGATATGAATAGTTTTTCGCTGAAAAAAGTATTAAATTTGGACAACACAACCATCAAAAATGTATTGTATCTAATCCAATCAAACTACTTGAATGTTAAACCTACCGTTAATTTCGAAACGCGGCTAAACTGAATGATCAAGGCTGAAAACCTAGTGGGAAAAAAAACTAAGGATGCAATATAAAATGAAGACTTATAATTTTTGTAGTCATCAACTCATTGTATTTATAGGTGAAAAATATGAGAATTATAAATTTGTAAAAATTTTCAAAAAGAAAGTATATTTATTTATTTAAGGTATTGCCCTAATCAATTCATCATATTGATATTCCTAATCAATTCATTATATTAATATTCCTAATTAATTCATAATATTGATATTACTAAATTTCCATTTTTCATTTACTTACCAAATAAGCTTTATTAAGTATTTGACTAATAAAATATTTAATTAATTTGACTACAAAAGTTTGGGCGGAAAAATGAAATAGGAAGATTTTACTTTTATATATATACTAGTATTTGCGCCTGTGCGTTGCACGGAATGAATTTGTTATAATATTTTAAAAATATTTAGATCGATATACAAATGTATAAATTATAACATCGAATATTATATAATATAATTGAAGAATTGAGTTGCACCGATTATGTTTTCTGATGTTATCAATACTTGAATTCGAGTAAATAATTGCCCAATTAATAGTTAACGTGTAGATATACGCATTCGGTGCTGCAACTTTAGGGATTTTATATATCAGTGTTTAGAATTTGTATTAATTGGACTAATTAGCTCGTTGTCTAGCAACTCAGTTATAGAAATTATTTATACAGAAGATATATTTTCTATGTAGATATATAGCAATTTTGTCATCTTTGTATATAAAAAACCATAATATCAATAACTTGAATTATACATTATTGAAAATCTCTTTGTAGACAGCATTGGTAGTAGTAACGGAATTTTATCCACCATCGTCTAGAGTTAAAACCATCAGACCATCAGGATGGATGACTCGGGAAAAATTCACATACAATTAACCGTGATTAAAGACGAGTTTTTTTAGTAATAACTCAACGTGAGTTAGTGTTTGACCCTGACTTTTGTTGATAGTCATGGCATATGCGAGCATCAACGTGAATTGTTTTCGTTAGAACTTGAATGGCAATCTCGTATCAGAAGGGCGAAAGACATTTTAATTGAAGATTTTACTTTTATTAATAGTATAAATATAGATTGGTGTAAATAATAATTAATATATTATTATTTTCTTATAAAATTACATATAATTTCAAATGGATTTTCTCATTTATTACGCAGAATTTGTTTCCATTATTCTCACAATTATAATGGTTTAATTATTCTCAGCATTTGATAACCATATTCCATTTTTAAGTACACATTGACTTCAATGTGTGATAAAAATTCATTAGATATTAGTTAATTTTCATATAAAATTTTGTTACCAATTAAGCTTTATTAAATTTTTTTTACCAATTAATTAATATTCATATTCATTTGGGCGGGAATGTTGAAGGTGATAATTTTACTTTTATTAATAGTATAAATTGTTGTAAATAATAATTAATAAATTATTATTTGTTTATAAAATTACGCAGAATTTCAAATGAATTTTCACATTTGTTACGCAGAATTTGTATCCATTATTTTTATAATTATAATAATTTAATTATTCTCATAATTTGGTAACAATTTTTCAATTTTATATACATATTGACTTTAATCTGTGCTAACAATTCATTAGATATTAGTTAAGTTTCATATAAACTTTGTTACCAATTAAGCTTTATTATTTTTTACTAATTAATTAATATTCATATTAATTTGGGTTGGGATGTTGTAAAGGAGGATTTTACTTTTATTAAAGTCATTACACTAAGAACTTGGAGGGTGTGGTTGAGTGGAAGAGACGCATCCATCCTTACTAGTGTTTGACCCGTGCGATGCACGGGATGTAAATTACATAAACATTAAATATGTTTATGTTATGTTAAAAATTGGTTGAAGCAATACAGTAAGAATTTGGTATATATAATCATTAATTATATTTGGGAGATCAACAAAAACCATCTCAAAATGGTATGTTAGAAATAGTATAAAGGTGATGGTAATATAAAAATAATACATTAGAAAACTACAAATTATTGAAAACTTCATGATATACAACATTAGTGGTTGAGGTTGTAGTTGAACTTGAGTCTTTTGCTATAAATATTTTGAGACCGTCTGGATTATTAACCCGAGATGCAGCTACGTACAACTGACCGTGTACAAAAACCGGTTTCTTTAGTACTAAACCTACATGGGTCAACGTTTGGCCTTGACTTTTGTTTATGGTCATCGCATATGAAAGCATCAATGGGAATTGCCTTCGTTGAAACTTGAACGGCAATCTTGGATCCGAGGGTGCCATTGACATTCGGGGGATTAACACTTTTGTACCTTTGTTGGGACCAGTCAGGATCTCGCCTTCAATCACATGATCTGCTAGCTTTGTGATTATCAACCGAGTTCCATTGCACAAACCAAGTGAATGGTCAATATTTCTCATTAACATTACTGGTGATCCGATTTTCAAGGTCAGTGTATGATTTGGTAGACCTGAAACCCGAATGCTATTTAGAAACTCCGGTGTGTGTACGTCTCCAAATATACCGTTATCGCCATCGGCTTTGCATACTGTGTCTGAACTATAGTATGACCTACTTTCGGCATTGTGCAACTCAGTCATATAGTCATTAACAGCGTTGACAACGTCGAGCGTCTGTGCTAATATGGCACGACCCAACAGGTGCTCGGGGTCAGTGTTCCCACTTGCAAACATAGGAAATATACTGTGCACAATTGCTTTAATGTCGTCCCCCCCGGATGATACTAACATGTGCGTTGGTATTTCAATTTCTGCAAACCCGTTATTCTGGCCACCAAGCTTCCCATCGCCAATATTGGCAATCCAGTCAGCAAACTCTTGTAATGCATGCCGGTTTCCACCATTTGGTACCGAGCTGAGCCTGAGGTTTTTAGTCAACCTTAAGACTTTGCAAGTATCCCATAGGTATGATGAATTGATCGCTGAAGAAACAATGTCTTGCCGTGTACCTTTGGGAACTACTGGAAGAATTTGACGGAAATCTCCACCCAGTACAACTGTTTTACCACCAAACGTCTTCATTTCACTATTAGGTTCTACAAAACGCAACAAATCGCGCATGGTTCTATCTAAAGCTTCAAAGCAATGTTTATGCATCATGGGAGCTTCATCCCAAATTATCAAGCTCGTCTTGATCAGCAACTCAGCCAGGTCGCTACCTTGCTTAATGTTACAGCTAGAGTCCTCATTTATTGCAATAGGTATTGCAAACCTCGAGTGTGCAGTCCGGCCACCTGGTAGCAACAAAGAAGCTATGCCACTTGAAGCGACATTTAAAACGATTTGTCCTTTGCATCTGACTGCAGCTGATAACGCTCTCCACAGGAAAGTCTTTCCTGTTCCACCATAACCATAAACAAAAAATAAGCCACCCTTCTTGTTTTCAATATCTTTGATAACAGTATCATATATGAGACCTTGTTCTTCAGTTAGTTTGGCACAAAGGACCTCAGAATCTGCCTTCAACTGTTCCGAATCGTACGACAACTCTTCAAACACCAATCGATTTTGAAACAAACGTGAATTATCAGTACTTGGTGTTGGCATCGGGGGGTAGTCTTTTAAAGACTTGTTTTGTTGACCCAACAGGTTTTCCAGTTCAATTAATGCAAAGTTCTTTTTCTCTTCCTCTGTTAAGACCAAATCTGTTAAAGTAACACCATCAAATTAGTTATAACTATAATCTAGTAAAAATGTTGAAAATTTTATTGTATACTAAAGAAGTAACATTACCTTGTTGTTTTAATACTCTCCTTTGATAATGTTGAGCATCTTCAGACAAATGTTCCCACACTTGATTCCAAACATTTTCGGGTCTAATAATTGATGATGATGTTAGTAAGACAACAAATAGCTTCCTCAATGAATGCGCACTTGACCAATAACTTGCTTCATTTATAGCATCAATGTACTCCTTATCATTGTCTAACAATCCATGAGCATAACACGCATCTCTAAAGGTTAAGTACTCAACACCGTTAACTGTCCTAATATCTTTGAAACTTGTCGGACCACGGACTATGTTCAATAGACACCTCAAATAATATATTTCGCCTGAAGCTGGAGGCACATAGAATATTCTACCAATTGAGGAACCCTTCTTTCTTGGATGCCATTCACGGATGTCCTTCTTCCAAACAAATTTGGTAGGCATCTCGATATACGTCAGTAAACTCGCTTCTTTGAACTTCTGATTGGCTACAAACCATGCATTAAACATACTTTGTCCAACGGTTTCCCTATTGAGGACATTATCAATCGTATCATCGTCTTGGAAAACAACTGACTGGCAGTCCGGCAAGTGAAAGCTTAATCGCTCAACCGGGGGAGTTCTGTACTGTACTTCGAAACTAAACAACCTCCATGTTGCCTCACATGCAGATACGTACCTGCAATCATAGTACATGTTTATCTCATCGACAATCTCGTTACCAGCTCCATCGATCGTAGCCTTATAAAACTCAGCAGTGACCCGGTCGTTGCCCTTGTTTATGTACTTGAATAAGTACTTGATTGACCTGGATTGGTTACACCATTCAACATTAATATGTGATTTGTATTTCAATAGCAAGTACCGATTATGTGGTACAACATATCTATTATCCAAATCTATTCCATTTTTTTTTATTGTCCTCTTATCATCCCTCCTTCGATACAACGGGTAACCATCTTGGTCAAAATGCGATGCATCAATGTATCTTTTTGGAAAATGCTTTGAACACTTGCCATTTGCCATGCACGGGGATTTCATTCGGGCAGCACCACACGGGCCGTGCAACATGAATTCTCCAACATGTTTGTAGTATTCATTCTCTGTCACCTTGTCGGGGATCTCGGCTGAAATGATCGTGTCCATAAAGGCCGGGTCAGCAAATTCGCTGTTCGCTTGAAGGAATAGTAATATGTGAGCATGCGGAAGACCACGTTTCTGGAACTCAATTGTGTATATAACTGTCAAGAGTGTATTTATATTGTCAGTTATACGGTTACTATATTAATTATTAAGGAGAACAAAAACTTCGTTTGAATTTCGTTACACACCTGCCTTTACGCGACCAAATAGTTTCCCATTTTTTATTTCCTTTATTAAACAGTCTAGCTTCATTTTGAAAACACGGCAAACAATGTCCGGGCGATCTTCAGCTTTCAAGTTTCTTTTCTCCAAGAAGCGTTCTATCTCAGGCCATTTAGGATTACATGTAAATGTAATAAAAAGATTGGGATAGCCTAAAAATCTACAAATTGCCATGGCGTCTTGGTAATTTTGTATCATGTACCTTGCTCCTCCAGTGAAACTTGATGGTAATATGATTCTTTTACCTTGAGAACTGGGTTGAACTTCACCTCGCGTCAGCGCATCAGAGAGTCCTTTGTAGGCCTCACACCTCAAAGCTTTTTTATTTAACCGAATATAGAGTAACCTCGAAGATTCAACCATAGTATATGCATCAACCAAGAATTGCTGGAATAACCTTTTAGCATACATTATAGTTGAGATCTCATTTGATCTTTCGTGTATACGGAACGCGAAGTACTCTCTTTGTAAAACACTCTTTCTTGAAAAGTCTTTTTTAGTACCCTGTGTAGCAAAATATATATCTTCCCTGAAACCATCCTCTCCATACGGAAATAATATTGGGTATTGCAATGGTAAATAAGCTGGGTTTAATTCACTTATTCGTTTCAGGACTCCTGATCTAGACTCGACAATAATATCACGTTGTCCCATGTAAGGGTCTATATCTCCAACAATGAGAGCGGCAACCTCGGATGTAGTTGGAAGCGCATAAGTTCTGGCATCTTTGGTCCTCTTCCCTATTAATCTCATTCTTATCTGAGTTTGAGGATTAGATTCAATAAACGACTTGGCCATTCGGAATGACTTAACCAACACATTGTGTTCATCTAGCGTTTGCTTAATGTCGTGTACTACCTCAACATGCAATGTAGAACCATTGTTTTGCGCCCTAAACAACGAAGAATATAAAATAATAGATATTCCGTATTCAGACGTGATCTAACTAAAATATAATTGATTAACACAAAGCAGTCTACCTCAAAGAGTTGAATCGATTTTCTATCTCATTTTCTGTATCGTGAATGTATAACTGGGCAAATTTAGGTTGAATGCCAACTGAAGGGACTAAGCTCCCAATGCGATGAAAATTTTGACCATTAATCCGGAATATAGGCGGTGATGTTCCGTTCTTAATAGTTCTATCAATTTTTCCACCCATGGACGTGAAGCAGAACATGTTGTTGTAGGACCGTATATTCTTTAAAAAACATTTGTTTTTTTCACTGGTTGTAAAGAATAGGTCATGCAACTTCTGAGGAGGCTTTGTCATTAATGGCAACTTTATCTTCCCATTGACACAACATGCAGAGTATTTTGGATTTTCAGAGCCCTTCAAATTGCTTGACCGTTCATTGTACCAAAAAAACGAATTACAATGCTCGCAAACATAATCTGGATCACCAATATCAAAATAATAACCTAACCAGACCGCAAAAAATGTATTAGTTCATATGTAAAATAATAATGTAAGATAGTCCCTTAATACAAACAGAAAACGTTCTGGTCATAGCATATCACAAATGAACTCACCATTATTTGGGGGCGTATTGTCCTGTAACGGTTCAACAACTTCCTGAAAATCATGCATTAGATTTCGGCAATGCTCTATGGGTCGACTCTCTGGCTCTACAACGACTATTTGCATATTATTGTCATTTGTAATACAACCGTTACTTGCAAACCCTAAAAAAACAATATGTAATTAAAAGTCAATATGATTACATATTTACTTAAACATTATAACTGCATAAATTTAAAAATCTATCCTTCTATCCCTCGATTTATGTTTATACCTATTTGCGAATTTGGTGTTCGGTTTAAGTCGAATGTGCAAGTTTGACGGTTACAGGTAGGTGCTTTTCCGTGGTCCTCATTGACTGTACCGCAGTTTGCTATAATATAACATATATTTTAGTCAAAGTTTGTTAGAATAATAATTAATCGATTTGACTATACACTCTTATTACAATATTTATTTGTGTTTGTTGAAGTTCATACTATTTGCTACGTTGCTAGATGGCATTCTGCTACTCAAATTTTTCGTTGATGTAGTATGTATTCTCCTTCGTATCGGAGAAGAAACTGTCAAAATGAAGGAATAACGACTATTATTAACAAATAAATGAGAAAGATCCTTACAAAAAAACGAACTCTAGTGTTTTATTTTAATATAAGTAGTAAGTATATTATTGAATTAAAAAATTATACCTAGTTGCGAATCTGGTGATCTATTTAGGTCGAACGAACGATTGCGGCGCTTTGTACTAAGTGGTTTATCACGATCCCCCTCATCTCGAGCGCAATTTGCTTTAATTGTTTAAAAGCCACACATAACAGATGTTAGAATGTTAAGTATAGCATTTTACAAACTCCATTCATATCATCTGCAAAACTGAAATCGAAAAGTAATGTTTGAGATTCGTACTATTTGATATGTTGCTTAGCGGTATTCTGCAACTCAACTCTTGCAACGGTGTATGTCAAATTGTCGTACTAATTACGCTTGATGCTGTGAATTAGAGTATGAAGTTTATGTTACCAACTTATTCAATAAGGATATACACTGTGTTCTAGGCCAAACTTACCATTTGTCACAATACTTAATGGCGTACTTAGCGAACTTTGGAAAATACCAATAAGCGGTTTACTATTGACTGCACTCCGGCTGGATTCAATTGGCGACACGTAGGCTGCATCAGTGATATTACTATTCTCATTCGCTGCAACGTAAACACATATGTCTATCACATATCATACATCATTCGTCCCAACAATTTTTGACAATAATAACAAATTATACTGTAATTATCCAATGATAGTTCGTAATTGATGTCACTATTGTATTGTATAATAATACCGATAGTTTTAATCCAATATTTCAAATTTTATATTTAACCATATTATCACATTATTTTTTTCATATTATGTCATGATAATAATATTATATAATGATATATCTTTTAACCATAGGTGTTTTTATATAGCAATGTCCCGTTTTTTAGAAATAAGGAAAATGCTATTAATCTTCGTAACCGTTTTATTGTTTTTATTACTAATAACCTTTAAATATTAAATTTCAAAATAATACTAAATATTATAATTACAACCAATATTTTGTTATTATAATAATCACATTAATGATTCAGACTAATATTTGGCTAACAATTATTTATAAGAACAATAATAATCAGAATATTAATAATCACAATCATAATAATAATAGAAATAATCAGAAACTTTTAGACTAATAAAATTATTAATAACATGAATAATTCAATAATAATACTAATATTAATATTAATAATAATAATAATAATAATAATAATAATAAATAAAATGGAAATGACAGTGAGAATGGTCTCGATGATGTCGCTTTCCTAATCCCTTGAACGCTCATTGTGAGCTCATTTCGCCGGCAATCCACCTGGTTTGTCTCTCTAAAAATGGAGCTGAGTAAGGGTTTCGGATTCGATTGGTGAGTCTCGTGTACTCTGTACTATGGATTGACAATGAAGATGATGTTTGTGTGGAGCATCGACTGACAAATAGCTCTCGGCATACTCGACGTCTGAGTGTTCATAGTACGGTCACAGCCACAAATGGGAGGTTTGATCTGGACTATCAACGCACGGTTCGCTCCGGTGAACACTATAGTCTCCGGAGTTCATGGGTACATACAGATCGGACATTTTTGGTCATAAATGTGTGCGATTAGGGTCGGTGACCATTTTTCCGATTCGGTGGTTCAGCTATTCGATTTGGAAAATAACAACAAAACTGGGTATGTATTACTAACCTAATTATTCTACGCTGTTCAGATGTATATATAAATAGGGCTATTGATAGCGTTTACTTATTAAATATGTAGAAGTAATCCGATTATACAACACATGCATATGAATTTTGCTAACCGTTGAATTTTTAGGATGATTTTTAATTTGCATCGGAGAAGCTAGAATTCGTTGGTTAATAAGTATATTTTTTTAATTATTTTTTTACAGTGTGCCGAACTATTTCTTATAATCTCTATCTATATAGGAAGACAGATAGCTATAATAAAGATAGAAGTGTACTAAGATTTACCTTGGTTGTTGCTGGGATGCTTCCTCTTCGACCCAATGGTGGTTGTAGATGTAAGTTTCCTCATGTATTCTTAGGGAGATGTATTGATTAGAATAAGGAATTGTTTAGGTGGTGTTTAAAACAGCTGTTTAAACTCTCTGTGTTGATTATATAGTTGAAAAGAACTACTCAATTAATATTTGGAGACAACATTGGAAATTGGCCATTATAATGACTTTTGGAATACTGAAAGGTTTAGTTGTGCTACTTAATGCACAGGGAAGTCCATTAACATAGGTAGATGAATATTATTAGTAATTGCATTCATACTAAACTGGAATTGTTAATTTTTATTGGAATGTAAATAGGTTTCTTATTTAGTTAACATAAACTAATAAACTTTATGTCATTTTGCAGGTAGGCAGTAGTCGGTTCAAGCCCACAAATACTGATGGTTGTGATAGGATTTATTTGATAATGATCTTTGTTTGCGACTGTTGTATTTAGACATGCTTCGGGGAGCCTAAAGATAAGTTTGTGGTCCATCTAATGTGCTTTACAATAAAGATACACACTACTTGCTGATATTGTTTGAGTGTTGTTAAACTATCTAATGTTAATGATGAATTAATTTGTTTAATTGTAATCCTCCACTTGCAGGTAAGCTGGTACACGTACATTGTATTTATGTCCATTAATTTGTGGATGGTTCATAGATACAAAGTTGGAGTACAGAATATTGTATATACAGTTGCTTCGGACTATTAAAAGATAAGTTTTAATACCCTTGTATGGCTCAATCTGATCACGCATTCAAATGTTAGTCAAGCATAATAATTTCCTTACATTGTTCGTAACCAAGAATAACTTTAAGGCAGTTATTCAGTTAATTCAAAATCCCCCAAATGCAGGTAAACTACAGATCAAAAGGTCTTCAACTAGCATTACTTAAGGACGCTTGCTTTTACCCAAAATTGTTGTCAACAATTGGTAAGTCCCTAATAAGCTGTAAGATCCTAATTAATTTGCTGAAAGTCGTTTTTTAGCTTTAACGGTTGTTGATTCAACTGCAGGTAAGATGCAACATAATCTACATTGTATAAAAAGGTCATTGAGGAGATAATCAACCGCACATTGTTGTCAACAACTGGTAAGTCCCTTAGTCCTCAATTATGAGTACTGGGAAACACATTTTTACTTTAGTTTCCAACAATAGCTTTATGTCACTGATAGCTGTTACTGTACTTCATTGAAAACTAATGATTTATATATTTTAATTAATCTAGTGTTGATATTGTGTAGTGATAAGACTATTTTTTATATACACGTGTCCCTTTGTTCTTTTTTTACTATTAATTGTCCGGTAATCTGATTAAGTGATAGAACTTTTTTTTTGCTTTTATCACACATTCCTCTTCTAAATAATTGAATGCATGTTAATTTAGACAGTTTGCCAAATTGTTGAGAGATGAAATAACGTGGTTCTACATTGCTTTAATCCTCATACGAATATAGTAATAGCTTGTTGAGAGAGCAAATAGCTTGTTGAGAGACCAAATAGCTTGTTCTACATTGCTTTAACTTTGGTTGCCTTAGATGATCTACTAATTTGAATATTCAGTTTTTATTAGTTTAGTTACATTTTTTTGGATGACAACTTGCAGATATGTGAGTGTATGCAACTGTAGAAGTGAAATAATTAACAAAGTATAGACTTAGGGAAAATCAATATTTATAAGTTTTACAAATAGTCATTACAACAAAAAGTAGACTTATTTAATCATTAAAACTGAGAGCACAAAAAATTTAAAAAAATTAAACTTGTAGGTTCATAATGAGTATCCTACACTAATGTTCCTTAATATTACATAATTAGAAAGTGTCAGCTGTATTACATGCTAACATAAACCATTGGATGGTCCTCGAGAATGCTGATTTCAGCTACTTCTAGATTTGTGTGCCATCAGTCTGGTCTTTAGGAATATGCCTGCCAACTGATTGACCTTTTCCCACCATGTCTGCAAGCCTTTGAATTCTTTTACCATGATCTCTGCAATCTTTCTATTGTTTTGCCATCAATTCCTGCCAAAAAAAAATCGGTAATAGGAATACAACAAATCTAGAGGGTTTCTCATGTTTGGTACTAAACCAACAAAACCATACATTATGCAAAAAAGTTCAGTCCAGCTGATGTTCCCAAAACACAATACTGTCAACAAAAACCATCATTCAAAACAAAATCAAAAAACCAAAAGAGCACATTGTCAGACATTAATTCATTACAAATCTGTTTCTTTCTCAATCTTCACAACACTGTCCTTGCTTTTCTTCGAGCTTTGTGTGCTTGAAAACTCATCAATTAGCGATCTCTTCACGGTTCCATTCTCAATAATGTTATCTTCGTTCAGTCTCTGTGCAACAACTTGGAGAGGGCTTTCAGCTTCATTTGCTGGGTCGATATCCTACACATAGAAATGGTGAACATGTAAATGTAAAATACTTAGTTTATAAAGTAATTCTTATAACATGATTCTGGATCAGCAGTATACCTCTATATCCCATAGGTCCTCATCCGTAAGCTCCAACTCCAACTTTGATGAGAGGTCCCTGTCCCTAACTTGGATTAGCTCTGGTGCGTGCTTCTCAACAATCTTTTCATCAGTGATGATTCTCATAACAGGGAAAGCATTGAGATAGTTTTGGAACTGTTCCTTACGCACAGCAATTCGAAATAACAGATTCAAGCCGATTAGAGTTTCAAGCTCCTTAGGTAGACCCTTTCTTCCCTGCAGATAACTCAATTAGTTAAAAGAGATTCAGTACTTATGAAAGCTATACTATATTAATGTTTTTCATATAGGTGGTCCAAAGAGAATTAACTGAATACTTAGGTAGATGCTTCATTTGGATAATTATATATATGTATTTCATGAGATGACAAAGTTAGTAGTACTAAGCTAATAGTATAGGACATGTTGAAATTATATTAGTACCTTTGTATGGGTATCCTTCAAATCATCTGCACTAATTCCAATTAGATCGAGGCACTCCCTGTCCCATAGAAGAAAAGGCGCATTGCCATCCAAGTCCACAACTCTAACCTTAACTCTGTACCTCAGTGTCCCATCACCCCAATTTCTGTCACATGTACTACACCACAGCCATTTCCCTTTTAGCTTAAGCTTTTTGTTGCAACCCTTGGTTCGACATGAAGCATAGTACCACTCTGGATCATCAATGAACACAATCCTAGCTGCAACCCAGAAATCTCCAAACTGCAGTGAACTTTATACAATTAGAGATGCAACTACAATATAATGTATAATTCTGGAAATCTGTAGCTAACAATAATTATTAATCATCATTACGTTATATAACTAACAAATATCAGTTCTGATTTTGCAGGTTTGGGTTTATTAGAGAGTATATGCTTGCAAAAAACATAACACAGAACTGCCACAACATATGGTGGTCTAAAATTCTTATATTAGATAAGTAACCAATGTTATTAGGCTCTATAAGACTTTATCACATTCCACAATTTGTTTTGCTTTATCTGATCCAAAAACTAACAAATATCACTTCTGATTTTGCAGGTTTGGGTTCATTAGAGAGTATATGCTAGCAAGAAACAAAACACAGAACTGCCACAACAGATGGTGGTCTAAAATTCTTGCATTAGATAAGTAAACAATGTTATTAGGCTCTATAAGACTTTATCACATTCCACAACTTGTTTTGCTTTATCTAATCCAAAAACTAACAAATATCACTTTTGATTTTGCAGGTTTGGGTTCATTAGAGAGTATATGCTTGCAAAACCCAAAAAACAGAACTGCCACAACAAATAGTGGTACCAAATTATTAAATTATATAAGTAATCAATGTTAGGCTCTATAAAACTTTATCACATTCCACAAATTGTTTTGCTTTATCTGATCCAAAATATGAAATGCAGGCAAAAGACTACAGATTGTAGTTCCCAGTATACCGAGTAGTTCAGCCATGACATTCAGAAAGGACAGTTTTTCCAAATGTGAAGATGCAAGCATTGATGTAAGTTTAAATTTATGTAAATACTACCTCCTTGTCTCTGTAGATCTCACTGATAGTACGCACTTCCATATCACCAGATAGTGCAACTGAATATGAGCTACATTCCTTAAAACTTGATTGCGATATAATACTACGCATTGGTGTCTGTTCATGACTCGTCCTGTAAAATATAGGTAATACAGAACATAAAATAAGAATTACAGATTAGAATGGACTATAAATGTAACTGATAGTAGTGAAATAATGTTAATTGACTAACCTCTTCCTGAACTCCTCAAAGGGGGGAGATTCTTGGTTGAAAAACAGCTGTGTTACATCATAGGAGCTACAAATCTTGACATCACCACCTTTTAGAAAATAGTATTAGTACACATTACGCTATAAAGATGTTTTAAGAAGACTTTTTAAGATGTAATTGATAATATAAGATAGTTACAGAAGTAAGTACTTACTTTTTAAACACACCCTTGCCCTACAGAACTGTACCAAGACCAACAATGGTTCTTGTGAAGTAGAATTGTAGAATGCCTCAATCTTGCTTACGTGTTCATCCCACAAAGTACACATTAGTTGTATTCCACTACAAATTTATTGATAATATATTAGAAAAACAGCATTAATAACAAATGATAGAAAGGCAGTGATTTTCAGTATTACTCGGGGTCTTCAAGAATGAAGTCAATCAGCCTGGAGTTCTTCCCATTAATTAATTTTTCCTCTGGGCAGTGTATTTCAATAACTCGACCAATAACATCTACAAAACAATGGATTAGATGATATAATAATAGTAAAATTATTAACTATTTGGAAAGGATAGACTGAATGAGATAACAGATTACCAAATAGGTGTTTCTCATCAAGGCCTTCAATAGACTTGATCTCTTTAAAGGTCTTCAGCCGATACATTTTCATAGGAAACTTCACATGCTTTAAATCCTTAACCATAGTCTGATAGTTAAATTTTATCATGTACTTCTGTGGGCTGGTTTTGTATGAGTAAGAGTTTGTGATCACACAAAAATTTTTAAT